TGTACGCTTTATATTATATGTACAGATTTGACTCCTCCAGCATTGGTATGCCCAGACGATATTACCGTTCCTAATAATGTAGGTAATAATACAGCAGAGGTGACATGGAACCTTGCGGTTGCCACTGATAACTGCTGTGGAGAAAACATCGATGTGTTGCCTGATATTATGAATGGTAGTACTTTTGACACTGGAATTACTAATGTTACACTTACAGCAGTAGACTGCAATGGAAACCGGAATGAATGTGTGTTCAGAATTGAGGTTAAAGGTAATATTTTTTTTATATTTTATGGAAATTAAAAGATATTACTTCCTGAATACATCTTTATTGATCGTTAATTTAAAACACAATTTGCCCTGCAGTCTTAGTTTCTAGGGCTTGGTAATCCTACTTTCTAAAGGTAGACTTAGTTTTTGATCACTCCTGTTGTTTGGAACATTTAAAATAACATTTTCTTGATTCAACCATTTTTGTTCTTCACCAGACTCTAGTTTTACTTTTCGCATGGTTCTTAATTCTCCTAATATTAATGATCTTATTAATTGTGGGGTTTATGTTTATACCTACATCAGAAGATATTCTTATCCTTGTCATTGACATTAATTTATTTATTAAATCTTCACTATGTTAGGGTAATTATATCTTCATGTAGGTAAGAGTGCAGTAATTATGTGGGTTTTATGCACAGAGCAAAAATATTCTTTATTCCACATGTACTTTTGTACTTGTATAAAAGTGCCATCCGTAACCTCATGGAGAAGTATTGTTGCCGTAATATATAAGCTAGTGTCCCAGCTTGATATTTAAAATATTGGACAAGATTCAGAGCAGATTTGCCAATCTAATTGGAGAAGATGGTTCAACATTACATTGCCTCGATTTGTTGATGTTATAAATACAGTGCACCTTCTAATTGGAGACCTCTCTAGTTGCGAGACCACTGAAATTCGAGACCACCTTTTCAAAGAACAAAATAACTATCATCAATCTATTAGCACATTAACACAAAGCTAAACCCCTAAGTGGAAATCAAACACTCTAAATTTTCAGGTCCGAAAGTGGTCGCGATATGGAGGGCGAATTGTTTGTTTAGTGGATTTCTTTTTTAGGGTTATCAGGTCTTGTTCCGTTATCAAAATCATTTGGTCGTGCAACTAAGGGGCTCAAAAGTTTCTCACTATCTTACTTTGATGAGGTCGATGTACAGAACCAAACAATTTGAAAAGAGGTTTTCCCCCAAGGCCACGGCTTTGTGTAATTCCCTCCCCGAGGTGACCGGTAAAACAGACCTGAGACGTTCTGTGGTCTGTGCATACGCATATCACTTAGTGGTGGTAACATAAGGTAGTCACCAGTGACACTTTTGTCGGTCGCTGACGAGGTATGTATGTCATTATTTGAGCATGAGGTGCCATTATCGAGTAGAAAATGGTCCTCGATGATAATTATTATTCCAGAGGTTTCCGGATAATTCTTCTGCTCCATTTTATATATTTATATTTTTCTCATCGTTCTAGTTTATATGATGTTACAGCTTAACAAAGTCTCTATTATTTTTTTCCTAAAATACTTTGTACAGCCAAATTATATGCCTTAATACTAAATATATTATATTCGTAGATTTTATCCTTCAATACTTTAATTAAAACTATTATATGTATTTGCCTTACATATTATGTTATAGGCCTACATAATTTTATTTGTTTGTTTTATTCAATGCTTAGTATTAGTATGTCCTGGTGATGTGAATGTGTGTAATGATGTCGGTCATAATACCGCCAGCGTTACTTGGGAGCCAGCCTATGTTACTGACTACTGTTGTGCAAATGTTGTTGCGGATGCAAACTATATCAATTGATATTCCTTTGAAATTGGTACTGGTGTGGTGGAGTACTCATCAAGTGACTGTGGCAATCTCATGACTACCTGTCAGTTCAGTGTGGTTGTCAGAGGTGCTTTTTAACGAATAAAGCCCCCACAAAAACCTTGATTATAAATTGATTTAATGATAGATTACACTAGCTTTTTCCAGTACCGAATGAGTGATTGCACAAGATGCATTTCCAAACATTTTAGGATAGCAAACGCTATCAGTGTTTAATTTTTTCAACAATTTAGTTTCTATATTATATAGATACCAGTAGGAAAGTGGTAAATCAATTTATTATTTCAAGAAGTGTTTGTCCATTTTTAGTTTAAATATATGTGTTATGTAATTGTTTATACACTTTTAGATTGTGACGCCCCTAATTTGTCTTGCCCGGATAATTTGGCTCCACTTGAAGTTGATGACAACTGTTATGCAAATGTCAATTGGGATGATGTAACGGCAGACGACAACTACGACAGTCTTGTAGATGGTGACTGTGATTTGAGCCCTGGTACTTTTCCTTTAGGAAATTACACTGTGCAGTGCAATGCTTCAGACTTGGCAGGCAATACAGGCAAATGCTCTTTCAATTTCGCCATTCTTGGTATGTGTTTGGTTTTTTATTCTACTCGGCATTAGAACTATATTTTTAATTAATGAATTAAAAAAATGGAATTTGATGATGGGATTCGTAAATATTTACTTAGAATTAAAAGTTTATATTGAAAAAAAACTAAAGTAATTTCAAATGTTTGCCTTTAAATAAGTATCTGAAATCAAGGATATAGTTTCTAATGGTTTTGCCCTCTGGAAGGCATTAATTAATTTTAGCAACTTGTTTCAACAGGTTTCAACAACTATATTTATTGTTTGTGTACGCTTTATATTATATGTACAGATTTGACTCCTCCAGCATTGGTATGCCCAGACGATATTACCGTTCCTAATAATGTAGGTAATAATACAGCAGAGGTGACATGGAACCTTGCGGTTGCCACTGATAACTGCTGTGGAGAAAACATCGATGTGTTGCCTGATATTATGAATGGTAGTACTTTTGACACTGGAATTACTAATGTTACGCTTACAGCAGTAGACTGCAATGGAAACCGGAATGAATGTGTGTTCAGAATTGAGGTTAAAGGTAATAATTTTTTTTATATTTTATGGAAATTAAAAGATATTACTTTTATGCGTTCCTGAATACATCTTTATTGATCGTTAAATTAAAACACAATTTGCCCTGCAGTCTTAGTTTCTAGGGCTTGGTAATCCTAAAGGTAGACTTAGTTTTTGATCACTCCTGTTGTTTAGTAGGTAGACATGCTAATTGATTTGAATTTCAAAAAAAATACAACGAAATAGCAACTTAACATTAATCATTTTCGTATTTAACAAAATGGAGTTGAAAATAAAATAGAAATTACAAAATAATAATTTAATGTGTAAAGAAAATTGTTTAGGATTGAATATTCAGATTATGATAACTTTTCCTTGTACAAATAATAATTTGAAGAAAGAATAAGCAATTTTAAATATTCGTAATGGAGTGAAAGTAAATAAGACAATAAATATGTGCACAGTAGTATAGAATGTTAGATTCCATGACATTTTATGTGATTTCTGGACATTATTATGCTAATAAAAATTATACTCGAACAGAAATATACCGTATGTATAGTTAAGACAAATACTTGTATTTAAAATTGAAAGCAGTTCTTGACACATTACATTGTTAAGGATATTAATATTAAGTTTTGGATTTGGTTAATATTTTACAAAATATTAAACACCCCTGAGTATAATAAAAAAATTCCATCCCAGTGTGCTGAACAAAACCGTGCACACACTGTGTCATAGGACAATCATAGACCACTGAGCGACAAATCAATTTCCACTCTGTATGAGCGCTTGACAACGCGACATTATCTGCTGATTGTCGGTGGCAGACTATTAGCAGAATCGCTTCAGCCAACGGCTGTTGGGACACAAACATATCATTGCTAATCATTTTACAAATAGTACAAACTGTTAGAAAATCAGTATTAAGTTAAAATTATTCATATTATTATCACTACAATCATTATTTTGTTATTATTGAATTCCAAATAGTTACAAAAGATCAAAAATAGAATTCATTATTTTAAAAAATCATACAAAACATTTATTCAAATCTTGCATTGCTGTACGTATACAGAATCTTTCAATTTCTGTTGCAGTCTTGTTAATGGTGTATAAAACATATAATTAACATAAATCCAATTATTTTAACTTGTATCAAAGCACATTTGCTAGTTAACAAATTTGCTAGTGATCAAAGTCACTTTCTTCACACTTGACAGACAGTGAACCACCAGATCTTGAATGTCCACCAAGCCAAAATCTTGTAGGTGATAATGATTGTATGGTATCGCCCACTTGGACACAACCTACTGTTACGGACAACTCTGGGGAGATTATTCTACCAGTATGTGACTATAGAAATGGGAGCACATTTTCTGAAATGAACACTACTGTAACATGTAATGCTACTGATGATTACGGCAACATTGGGTACTGTACATTCAACATTATCATCATAGGTGAGTTTAATTATTTTATTTTATTTATTAATAAAGTCGAAACGATTTTTTTTTTAAATTTCTGAATTGTACTTTCTTGATTATGTTAGATGAGGTTGCTCCTATACTGGATTGTCCAGATGACGTCATGATGTGCACTGACTCTGGCGTAGCTTCAATGAATGCCTATTGGTATCCAGCTAATGCAACTGACACCTGTTGTTGTGATACTGAGGCAAATGCTAACTACACAAGTGGAGATGAATTTACAGTCGGCGATACCATCGTAGGATATTCAGCAACCGATTGTAATGGGAACACTGGATATTGTCAGTTCGTTGTTACAGTAACTGGTAGGGATATGTTTAAAGAATTGAAAACAAATTGATAGATAATGTATAAAAAAGGTGTCATTAGCAGGATTCGAATTTGCAGCCTCTCGCTATGAAGGCGGGTATCATACCATTAGAACAGAAAGACCAAAAGCAGGGCACCTTCAATTCAACTGACTCACACACCGTGTAGCTGTGGTTATAGATTAGCTTATAGGCTGCAGCTAGGAAAATAAATAATAGTTAGCTGCGTGACAATCGTGAACACAAAGTAGACAAATATATGTCAATAACAGTGCTCGCATATAAGCAATAATAGCACTGTTACTATTTATGTATTTGTTTATATTTTCAAAAACTTTTTATTATTTATTGTGTCTTAGCTTAATGTATATTCCAGGAAACCGTAAACTTTAGGTGTCTATTCTTTGTTATCCTTTTTA